GGGAACCCTCTTGAAAGAGGTCACCTTGAAGCCAGTCCTCTCCCATCCCCACCCACCTATTCCAAGTGGCTGAAGCGCTCCAGAGCCCACCTAGTGGGCTCAGTTCTCCCCTTGGCTGCCTGGGACCTCGAACCCAAGTTAGGTAGGAGTTGTCCCTGCCGGGCCTATAGCTGTGGGGCCCCTCTGATGAGCTGTGATTGGAGGGCTTAGAGCCAAAGGGTCTAAAGGTGGAGGAGGGACTCGAGGGGTCTCCTACTCTAGCCATGGCCTGGACCAGCTGTGCCCTACCTTGCACAATTCTGAAGTGGCAAACTTCAAAAGTGGTCCTGTTGTTAATCCATATGTAATAATCATCACACCAGACTTCTGAAGAACCCTCCCTCCCCAGCTCCCCAACAACTTCTGTGCCTCCCAGATGAGGAGATACATATATCCGGATCTCTGATTTCTCCTCAATCCGAATAGATTTGGTTTTCCAGTCATTTCTTCAGATGCTGATGTGGGTATGTTAGGGCCCCCAACTCCAGCTGACTCACTCCTACTCTGAGCCCTTCTGAGATGTCCTTGAGCTCCGGCAGTTGAGTCTCTTCTCTTGCAGCAGTGACCGGGCCCTGGAGAGCTGTAGGCACAGAGGCCCTGCAGGCCCCAGGTTTGGGTCTGACTCCCTGGGCCCTGCCAAGGGCTTGGGTGCTTGAGCACTTTGTTTACAGGAAGGGGTCTCTCTTCCCACCGCCCCCAGCTCCAGCCACCAGGCGTGCCCACTGCGGGCCTGCCAGCACTGCCAGAGGCCTTCACTATCCTATGCCTCCACTCTGTTCTTGAAGGGAGTGGCCGGGGGTGTGGGATTCACGCTGGGGAGGGGTAGAAGGAGCCTCAGCTCCCAGGTCTCCTGCCAGCCTTCCCCAAGCCTCACTCCTTGAACAGTGTGGGTGCCCACGCCACATTATGCCTCTCCCCCTCCATTATGAGAGCAAGTGTGTCATCAGGTACCTACCGTCAGTCACATGGGCCTGCTGCATCTTCCCTTGGGGACCAGCCCCGCCCACCAACAGCCACACCAAGTCACCTGCTTCTAGCAGTTGGCACCTCCATTTCCTTCTGTCAGTTTCCAGACTGGACGGGTGGCTCTGGGGCCACCTCAGTGGTCTAATGAAGTTTTTGTCCCCTGGCTCCCAGGCTTTGGGCCCCGAGGGGGAGGGTGCTTTCCCTGGATGAGGAGCCGCCATATCCAGGGGCTGCCTTTCCTGCCTTCTTGAGGAGGATGGCATTCTGTGTCCTCTGCTAATAAAGCGCCTTTCTTCGTATTTGGCAATAAACCCTTTGCTGCGCAACTTTTCTGGCCCAGCCTGTTTGTTGATGTGGGGACCAGCTCCAGGGTGAGCCTTGGGGAAACTGAGGTGGGCAGGTTGATTAGTAGGCAGGGCTAGAAGCATCGCCAGCCCATTCTTCAGTGTTCCAACCTTGCTAAACCAACAATCTCTCATGAGCTGGGAGCTAAGGATCAAGGAACAGTGGTTTTTAAAACATTATTTTTAATTTGACTTTTTACTGGGAAACCATCTCAAGCTTACCAAAAAGTTACGAGAATAAAAATAGTATGAAGAAAACCACACATCCTTTTCCTGAATCCCCCAGGGTTTTACCCTTTGCACACATTCTCATTCATAAGGGTATGTGTCCCTTAATCATTGCAAAGTTCACTTGCCTACATCATGGCTCTATACTCCAAAATACTCCACCTGTATTCCCTAAAACAGGGATATTCTCGCATACCAACCACAGTACAGTTATCCAGGATCGGTTGCTTGCACTCTAACCCATCTTCATTTGGCTCTTTGTCCATGTATTGTATTCGTCTTCCCTCCAGGGCAGGGTCCAGTGTAGTCAGGCCCTGCATTTAGTTGTCATGTGCCTTTAGCTTCTTCCATCTGAAACATGCCCATGGCCTTTCTTCGCCTTTCCAATGTTGCATGTCCAAAGGAATCTAGCCCCTCCCCCCTCTAAGAGAACATTTGCCACTTGCCTGAGGTTTCCTCAGACCAAATTGAGGTTCTGTGGTCTCAGCGCCCAAATGGCATTGGTCACATGGGCTCATTCTGGAAGGAGATTGGGTCACCCAGTTGAGGTGACCAATTTTTCACTGTATAGTTAATGAGCATTTTGTTTTGTTTCCCTTGCAAGGAATATGAAATCTGTGAAAATTTCGTATTGGGAGCTATTTAAATCCCATTCAAATATGGTGCATCTCATCAACACTTCCCCTTAGATTTAGAACCCACTGGTTATTTTGGCCCTTCCTGTGACAGTTTCAAAATGATGATTCTAGCTTTCACTTCAGAGCCTGCTCTGAGGCAGGGCTAAACCTGGGCCCTGTCCTATGCCTGGGGCACCCCTGACATCTCAGTGGAACCCCTTGTCTGCACTGGGCCAGTGAAGGGAGCTCTGGGTCAGGCTGCTGAGGTTTACATCCCACTAAAGGACCTCTGGTGAGTCTGCCCAAGGGGTCTCAGCTTCTTCACCTTTGGAAGAGGGTTGCAGTAGCCTGCTCTGCTCCATGGCGAACAGAGCCTGGGGTTCGGTGGTTAAGGGCTCGGCTGTTAACAGATTGGCACTCGGAACCCACCAGCCGCTCTATAAGGGAAAGATGTGGCGTTCTGCTTAAAAAAAAAATGCAGCCTTGGAGATTATGGGGGCAGTCGTACCCCGTTCCAAAGGTTTACTAGGAGTCAAAATCCAGTGGGGGGCAATGGGGTTTTCATTCCTTGAAGTGAGAAAGCTCCACTGTGCTCACCGAAGGCTGGCTCCCTTCTGCTTCCCTGTGGGGACTGCTACACAGGCTGGGGCTAGCGCAACAGGAAGCACCTGACCTGGGGGCTGTCCACTGGCTGTGGCCCTGGTGGCCCTCCTGAATTCCCCTTCCATTGGCCTGATTGGAGACAGCCATTCTGAGGGAGTGGCCTGAGGAAGGTGGGGCCGCTAGGTCTGGGAGGAGGAGGAGGAAACAAAAGGGGGATGAGTCAGTTCTTTAATAGTTGGGATGTCTCCCCACCACAGCGGGGGAACTAGGTCCCCTCTGGGGCCTTGAAGGGAGTGGCCGCTGAGAAGGTGTCAGTGGCCAGTCATAGGACAGAGGAAGGACGTGAGGGCTTTCCCTCTGTTCAGAGGGCTGGAAGCCTGCGCAGAGAAGGGCAGCCTTCTTTCTGAACCGCTCAGGCAGTGGTGCCCCAGGGCCCTGAAGCCCGCCCTGTGGCAGTTCCGGTGTACTGGTGGCAAACCACAGGTGGCTAGCTCTCTTCCGGTGGAAGAGGAGCTGGTGGGAGAGGGAGCATCCAAGTTGTCCCCCTCTGAGCCCAGGCCCCTTTATCTTTTGGGAGCCACCGTGTTGTGTTTTGTGCCCTCCTGCACCTCCTCATCTCTGTCTGTAAAGATCATATGACCTCACTCATGGGAGGTTTCCCTGACGGGGAGACTCTCGTAGGGAATGTGGAAGGTGGGGAGGTGATGGCAAAAATTCCTCCCTATTGTCATCATTTTATATTAAAAACTAAATGGAACACATTTCCTGGAGGAAGCAGCAAGGTATCAATAGAGAAAAAGCCCAACTTTGTATTTGGAGGTAGATTTGAACCCCAGCTATGAATATGTGACCTGATGCAAAGTGCCTCTGGTTTTCCTATCTGTAAATTGGGCCCATTCTATCTATCCCTGGGTGGGAACACTCAGCTCGGGGCCTGTCTCACCGCAGGGGGAGAAGGCTGCATGAACCCCAGAGCCTTAGCTTGCGAGCACCCGCTCTTTCCCAGGCTTGTTCGCCCAGTGTCATGGGCCTCCTGAGGGAGGAGGGTGTAGTGTGTTCCCTCAATTGTACAAGGGGAGGACACAACTTGCTCCAGGAGACTGCAAATTAGTGTCCAGGACCCAGGGCCTCATGTGACTACTTTCTGCTATTTCTCCCGAGGTCACATTCAGCCCAGGACATCTGGCTGACTAGGCCATCGGCACCTTTCCAGGACACCAAAGGGAGCCCTCCAGGCCCAGCGGGCTCGCCCCAGCGCGGCTCCGGCGGCCCTTCCCTTATAAGGACAAGCGCGCTGTGGCCGCGGGGGAAGGGCAACGACTGCCGCTCCAACCGCGACAGCTGAGGCTCGCGCTGCAGGAACTGCCCACAGCCACGAGGCTCCCCACGCCCCTTCCTGTGCCGGAGGGCCTGAGGGGGGCTTTCCCAAGGGTCACACGGGCAAGACTCTGGAGAGACTGCGGCCTTCCAGCCCAGTCTAGGCACCTTGCAAGGAAGATGTGCACACTGAGACCCCCCCATCTTGGGTGAGTAGGGCCCTTCCAGGCTCTTCATGGTCCAGCCGGAAGCACAAGGGGCTGGACTCCTGGCCGCTGGCCTATCTGGCCCCAGCCTCCCCCTCAGACTGGGCAGGGCTTCAAGGGCGGAGGCTCTGTGGCCAGTCTCCCCAGTTTCTCCCTTTGGCCTTCAAAGGTGCAGTCTTAAGGAGCGGGAGGGGGCTGGTCTGTTTGCAGCAGCTCCCTGCCCCCCCCCCCATCACCTGTGTCCTAAGGGACCCTGTGTCTTGCCTAGCAGAGCCCCCCTCGAGAGTCACCACTTGAGAAATCTGCTGTGGAATCAGAGGATGTGGGGACTGGCCGATAAGGATCTTGGAGACAATCTAGTCTCACCTGCTGGTTTTTAAAAGGAGGAAATAAAAGTCCAGAGGGAGAATCTGAACTTGCCCATCTGGTTTTTATTTTTAAATTTTTATTTTGGTTTGACTTTTCCCTGGTTTCCTATGAAAGGTTTTTTTGAAGCCATCCCAACTTGGTAGCTGACGCCAAGGACAAAGGGCTCTAAAGCACACGCAGGTGTGGGTAGCTCTGGGAATCAGCGCTTCCCTGGAGACCGAGGCCGGGGTTGGCAGTGGAGTAAGCCCAGCTGTGGGCAGCCAGGCTCAGCACACAGAGAAGTGGCTTGCAGGGCTACTTTGCACACACTGTGTGTCCTGAGGCGCCTGCTAAGCTGCTCTGACTGGCAGCTCCCTCATCCTCCCGGGAAGACTCCTGCCAGGGCGATTTTGAGGATAAAATGAGATCATTTAGATAAAGCATCTTGCTCAGGGCCTGGCATCTCTTAGCAGGGGCTTCATAAATTGGTAAGGATATTGTGTGTTGGGCATGTGCTCTACCAACATTACATTAGGTGGTGTGGATTGCAAGCACAATGAGATGGGATCCCTCCCCAAGGAGCTCGACGCCGGACCAGGGAGACAGACAGTCGGACTTGGCAAACATGGGATGAGCCTGTGGTAGAGACAGCGGATTCTGTGGTAGCACCAGCCTCCACAAACCCCCCTATGCTCACCGTGCTTACTGGGTACTCGTCCTGTCAGGCACTCTACATGTGAAAGGGAGTAATGATTCCATAGGAAGGTGCTGTGGGGTTAGGAGAGAGACAGCTGCCAGCCATATTTAGAGGGAGAATCTTTGAGGTGGTGAAAAAAGTGAGACCTTGCTCATGACAGATAAGGGAGGGAGTCCAAGTGGGCCTGCATTTACCTGGCTCCATGGGGGATCCCTCACTGGCTGAAGGAGCTGGGCAAAGCCTCCTGAGGAGGTGACCTTGGCCTGGGCCTTGAAGGAGGAGTATGAGTTTACCAAACAAGAGGTGGGGCTTTAGATGGAGGGAACAATATCTTCACAATCCCAGAGAACCCCAGGGCGACAAGCTCCCCAGGCAGCATCCTACAGCAGAACAGGCTATGGAAGGGTGAAGGGTCTTGGAGATGAGGTGCAAGAAGGCAGGGTCTTGATGAATACCTAGGAACTGTGGACTTTGCCTTAGAGACCAAGAGGAGTCATAAACCAGAAGGAAAAACTGCCTTCATGGTGGTAGCATGCTGTAGAGTTAAACGGAACCCTCTCAGGGTTCTTGACTGTGATGAAGCAGATGTGGCCGTCTGTTCCTGTGAAGATGAGCAGCCTCGGAAGCCCTGTGGCGCAGCTCGAGCTTGTCCCATATGGCTGATGGGAGTTGGAACGGACTCAACAGCAGTGGGCTAGCAGGTTAATCTTTACAGAAGTGGATTGCCAGACTTTTCTCCCATAGTGCCACATAGGAGGCTTTCAAGCAGGGTAGAGTCAGGCTTTGGGGTGGAGCCTAGGGGCAGGGACAGGAGTCAGGAGGTAGTTTCGATAGACCAGGGGAGGAGTGGCAGGGCCTGAGCTGGGGCAGTGACATTGGGGGCAGAGTGCACTGGACGGGTAGATTCTATTTAGGAGGCAGAATGGGGGTTCCTGAGGCCTTGTGCATGTGGGAGAGCTGGAGCCGGAAGGAGGGAAGTCAAAGATGACTCGGGAATCAGAGGGTATGGGGTGCTTGTTCTTGAGCTGGGGCGCCCTGTGGGCAGGACAGGTTAGGGACAGCATGGTACCATGTGGAGGGTCTCTGTGAGTGACCAGAGCTGCACCAGAGGCAAATCTTACCGTCACAAGTTTGCAGAGGGTGATGGAAGCCCCAAGCGTGGCCGTGTTATCTGTATGTTACTGAGGATCAGATGGGTGTGACTGACAAGAGGCCAAGGTATTAGGGGACACCTGGGACCTAACTCTGAGGGTTTGCCAGATTTGTCCCAGCTGGAGGGGGCTCCTGCCCTCACAGAACAGGACAAAACAAAACAGAAACAACCAGGGGAATTTGTTGTTTTATTTGAGTCTGTCTTCTTGATGTTGGGCTCTGAAATGTAGACATGCACCCTGGAGTCTCAGAGAAGGAACTTGGTTCAGAAAGAAGCATTTCTTTGGCCAGCCTCTTGGCAGCTGGTGAGGAGAGACGTCTTACAGTCTGGGCAGCCAGGGCAGGTTCTCCTTCAGCTCTTTGCTCAGTGTGACAAGACCAGAACCTTCCCCCGGTTTCCTGGTCACAAGCCAGGCCTGGGTGAGCAAGAGGAGGCCCTTGTGGTCTTAACCGGCAGAGATGCCCAGGCAGCTTAGCCAACAGAGCTAGGACCTTTCTGGGCTTCCCCAGCCAGGCAGCATTCCAGCCCAGTCAGCATTTCTGGGCCCCTCCCACCTTCGTTTCCTTCCCAGCTGGCCCCATGGCCTTCGGTCTGAGGGGAAGTAGGCCTGCTCCAGTTTCGGCCAGCACCAGACCACTCTGACCCTGGGTCCCCAGGGTGTGGTGGGTGCTGGCCAGCAGGATGGGGAGTGTTTGAGAAGCTCTGTCTTCTGGGCGGACTTGGGGAGAGGAAGAGCCCTCGAACGAACGGCCTGAACTATCTGGGGTCACACCTAGGTGAACAAAGATCTCAGGCCAAACAAGTCCCTGCTGGCCCCGAACAGGCCCCCTGAGAGGGCGAGGGGCAGTCTCTTCAGTGCATCTGGAGGCAGAGTTGCCTTGAGTTCGGGGAAGGTTAAGCTTCTGCCTCTTAATCTGCTTCTGGAGACTCAGAGGGACCCTGGAGGCTGTCCGTCTTTCCAAATACCCAAATTTTTCTACAGGACTGTATGATGGGTTGGATTGGATTGAGGGTAGGGGTGAGGAAAGGGCAGGAATCAACACCCTCAGCCCTGTGTCTTTGCCAAGTTGCCTAACCTCTCCGATCCTCAGTTTCCTTATCTGTTAAATGAAGAGAATTGTGTCCACCCCAGCATGGTGAGGATGACAAAGGATCATGTATATGGAGTATCTGGCACCACGCCTGGCCTGCGGGAGGAGGTCAGGAAGCATCGCAACACTTTTACTATCATTTTGTCTCACTGGGGGGCCTTTTCTATGTTGTCAGGAAGTATCCCAGAGCTGCGTCTCTGAAACTGTGATCACAGATGGTCTGGGGGTAGGGGTGGGGGTGGTGGGGGTTAGACCTTAGTTACCAGCATTTCACAGATTGAGAGATTATGGGAAGGGACTTGTCCAAGGTCACACAGGGTGACTGTGGCAAGGCATCAGCAAGCCAGGATCCACTGCCCCTCCTCTCCCGGGGTTCCCCACCCCCATTCAGGAAGCAGGCCCAGTCCTTTAATTTGTACCATTGTTAGGAAGAGCCCCAGACACTGAATGACTGTTTTTCTTCTATAGAGCTCAGTGTTGATGCCTGGAATCAGGAAATGGGGTGATGGGAAGTGTCCCATCTGACGTCCTCCTGCTGGGGGGCAGCAAATTCACAGGGCCAGGCTTCCTGTAATAAAGCTGCGGTTGCAGCTCGAGAATTTGGCATAATGTTTAGAATTAATTAAAAAATCATCTGGGGCATCAACTAAGATGGAGGAAGCACACCAGCCTGTATGATCCAAGAAATATAAGTAATAAAACCCAAGTCTGAAGGAGGGAATGGTATCCGAGCTTAAATCGTGAACCCCTGGTCTTCAGAAGGCTGTGATGACAGTGGAAGCCCAAGATCCATTTGCAGGGTCCCCATGTGGATTCAACTCTCCGGTGGATCCCCCCTGACCATGGTTGAGAGATGGGACTAGCCTTGCTATCAGACAAAACACGTTACAAAGTTGATTATGTCAGATGTGATTATGTTAAAATGTAATCCCATATCATTCAATCTCCCTTTTGACCCATTTTAAAGTTGATTCCATTTTTAATATTTTCTGATTTCTCTTTGATTGAGTTTTTTCTATTTTTTCTAGTCATTGTTGTTGGCTTTTTGTTTAGTTTTGTTTGTTTCCTGTTTGTAGTTTATATGATTTTCTGTATCTGAGATCCAGGATGGGTAGATCTATGGAGACAGTAATTGGATAGGGGCATGGCAGGGGAGGATGGGGAAAATCGGTGCTAACATGAAGTATGAGGGGGGAAAAGTTCTGAGATTGATTGTGGTGATGATTGCACAATTTTTAGTATTGTTGCATGATAAAATTATATGATATGTGAACTATATGCCAATAAAACTACTTAAAAAATCAAATCTAGGGAGTGGGATGAGAATGGAGGAGAGACATACAGATGGGAGGAAACTAACTTTTCCAGCAGAGAATAATTAGTTATTCTAGGGTTGATAAACGAAGAAGTAGAGACATGATCAGATTGTTTGCAGCTAGGAAGATAGTTCTTAAGAGCTAAAAAGTTATTTCAGCAAGTGGTATGGCATTAGGCGTATTTAATTTTTCATTCAATACTTTTCTGAACTATGTGAATTATTAGTCTTATACATGTTATATCTAACATGTATATCTAGTGTTTTAGTCTTATACATGTTATATCTAACATGTTTTGCTCAGAGGCAGGCAGGGATGGTGCTTGGCTCCCTTACTCCCTAGCTTCGTTGGTTGTGTCTCCCTACAGAAGTCAGGCTTAGAGGGAGTTCTGTATTGGC